AATCCCGACTACCCACTGTAAAGCTGGAACGGCCTTTAGATCTTTGACTGACAACCACTCACAGTAGCATACTAGGTCCACTTGCGCTAGATGTAACGACCCAAAACGTGAGCCTTGAGCCTAGAGACCCCAAACCTTGAGCCTTGAGCCTAGAGACCCAGAATGACTTGGGCAGCTCCAGCTTGCATGTCTGTATGTTGGGCTTTCCATTTCTATAACAAAATTACAGGATGCTTAAGCTGGACAGACTTCAGGAATCACTTAGTCCAGACCATTCATATTGCAGTAGAAAATTATATGATCGTTCCAAAAGCTCAGAAGCTCTACTCTCCTTTCTCTCTTGGGTGGGGAAATTAGGGTCAAGCCAGGCAGGTGCAGGACTTGCAGCCACCACGTCCCTTAATCCTGGCATTGCTGAGCAAGGGCTTCCATCCCAGCCTCCCTAATCCAGCTAGCTGTCAGACTGTGGGCTGGGATGGCAGTGGAGGAGGGTGACGTGGACGAGGACGATGGGTTTCTGGCTTTTGCCCGGGGTCCTCCTCTCCCCAGGGGTCCCCTACGTCGGGTCTTGGACAAGGCCTTCTTTATCTTCCTGGCCTTCTTTCTGATACTACTGATGCTGGAGGCTCTTTATAAGCTGCTGTGGCCACTACCATGGGCAAAGTTTGGGGACTGGCTCCTGGGAACACCTCAGAAAGAGGAGGAGCTGGAATTGTGACTACCTTTCCTATAAACTTCCTCTTACCCTGCCACGGAGGTGAGAGGGGAGGTGGGGGGGGGGAATGGGACTTTTGGGGGCTGTGTGTGTGGGGGGGAGGACACCTAGATAGCTTACAGTAACTGTCTTAAAATGTCTGAAACTATACTCCAGGAAATAATTTTGAACAGGTTTATACTCCTCACATAGTTTTCAGTAGGCATAAAAAATTTTCATCATAAATAAAAAATTGTTTCAAGGATGTAATTCCTGGCGTGTTGAAAATATGTAAAATAAAACAATGAAGTCACCCTTTTGAATGTCCAGAGGAACTGAAACAGCAGAGTGATTTGATACCTACTACCATCCATTTAAAAATACATAAAGAAGCACTTAACAATTGGGAATCATTCCTTTTCTCCTTTCTCTCTTTTCTCCTTGAACTCCTATTACCATTCCACTTCCCCAGAGACAATTTTATGCTTTTATACTTAGCTCTTTATTTAACATAGAACTGTCTCCAGGAGATTTCATGGTTGAAAACTATACTTTTTTTTTTTAAGAGGGAGAAAGTCTATTGTAAAAGGGAAAAGGAAGAACAAGAACCTCTACTGCAGGCATTTCCTCAGGACAACTTTTGGGAGAGCTGAGGATCTCCCTAGTCCGAGTGCTCTTTGGGGAGTTTTCATTTTCCCCAATTTGAAGACTGTAGGCTTAGATGACTGGAAAGAAGTGATGTGAGATTAATAGAAGGGAGTGTTTGAGGTTCTGGGACTCTGAGAGTTTGGACCTGTAGGGACCTCCGAGGTCCTAGAAAGTGGTAAAATGCTCGCCACTTATGGAATGCGCAAGGACGTAGAGGTGGGCAACTCAACAACTGAAACCATCTTAGCCTTTCCGGTTTCCCCACAAGCTCTCCTTTAGACTCAGTCTTGCCTCCACGAGTTCCCCCAGCCTCCCTAAAATTGGGCGAGGTGGGATGCGGGTGAGGCGGGCCTCATTCTGTTTCTTCTCTGTTCGTTTTTTTCTCAGCTCTACCAGAGAAAGAAGAGACGAGACCCGCGATATTTCTGAGCCTCATTTCATCTTACAACCCTCACAGTGGCAATTCGCACAGATTCTTCTTAACACACACACACACACGCCCATATCGCCAGTCCTTAGGCCCTGGAGCTCCTGGATGGACAAAGCACAGCTTCTGGGTCATCACTACCTGAGCCTCAGGGACCCTCTCCAGAAAAGTACAGAGAATCACCGAGGTGTCACCTGCGTGGTTGGTAATTAGTCTTGTGGTGAAGCTGAAAAGCAAATCAACAATAGTAATAATAATAATAACAACACATTGTATAGGGCGTTGTAATCATTTGTGTGCAAGTGTTTTGTTTTCGCGATTGGGAGACATAGGCGCCTGGATGTAGAAGTAGCTGCTGGACAGCGGCAAGGGAGCGCGCAGCTGGTAGAAGGGAAGGGGCAGGCGCCGTCGATTAAGCTGGGGCAACGGGTACCTGGCAGGTAGGAAAGCAGCGCGGGAAGGCTTGTCAATAGCCCCTCGGAAAGAAACGGTTTTATTTCCCTCACGAGAGATTTCCGCCCTTTTGTGCACCACTGCGCAGCCTTAGAAGGCCCAATTCCTCAGCGGCCCTGTTGCGTTCCCCCCTTCGCTACTTGGAAAGGTGGCTCAGTCCTCCCCGCACGCGCCTCGCCAGCGGTTGGGCTGGATGCAGGAAGTTTCTGATTCGCAGAGTCGCAGAAGCGCCGGTTGGAAAGACCTCCTCTGGCGCAGCTCTGGAGTCTGGGCTAAGTCAATGCCGTACGGCAAAATGAAAGCCCCCAGGTACTTAGGGACGCGCCGCGGGGATAAGCTCGCCGCCTACAGGTCGGGCGGAAGGGAGCCGCATGTTATCGATGTCCGGATGTCCGGCCTATTGTCATTTCCGGCCACAGGGGTACTGGGTTTCGTACAACAATATGGCCGCGCTTAGATGCCTGTTGGCGGAAACTCTGCTGCTTCCGGTGTAGAATAGGGCCTGCGGTGGGAGGGGGAAGGAAGGCGGAGGTAACCATGCGAGCTTCTGATATCTGCGGTGAGAGTCGCTCGGAGAGGCCGTTTCTGAGGTGGGGCCCGGACGGTGCGGGGACCGAAGGCGGGGGCGGGAATGTCGAGGGAGAGGTATTGGGGAGTCCCGGGCGCTGAGTCGGAGAGGCAAGCTTTCTTTTTTATCCCTGAAGGGGAGTGGGGCGGGTGGGGCCTGAACTGGGGGAGGGGGACTTGGCGGGAAGCTTGTCTAGGGGATGAGGCCAGATCTACGGTTGGGATCCGTGAGGAATCGGGCGAGCTCTGCGGGGCTCACGAGGGGTTACAGGTCACAGAGAAAATGAGGAAAATTAGGGTGGGGTGAGAGGGAGGAGACTTGAGGTGAAATACCTCCAACCTAACTCCAGTTTGAGACCCATTAGGGGGTGGAATATGAGATCTACATCAGAAGGGGTAATGTATGGTTGGGAGGGAACCTTCTTCTCAGAGTCTAGAAGTTGGGGCGATTCTTCAGGATGGGGCAAGGGTGTGGGTTTGACGTGTTTGAGAGCGAAAGGTGGGGATAATACCCGTGCGAGGGGATGTCAGTGAAAACTGGAGTGCAGTGTGGGAGGTGGTGGCCCAGGGGTTGGGAGGAAAAATCAATTTGCCAACTAGGAGAAATAGTGGGGAAACGAAACTGAAAGACCGGATGTCGATATGGGGAGTGGAGCTGGGGGTAAGGACTTGAGGTTTCAGGTGGTTTGGGGCTCCTTAGTACAGGGCCCAAAAAACATGGTACTGATGGTTGCTGACGATAGGCAGTGAGGACACTGTTGGGCAGGGCTGGGTGTTACTGAACCCCAAGAAAATTGAAAAATGTGTGAGATGAAGGGATGGGGCTATGCTGGAGGGGCTCTTTCTAAGCCCCCATCCCCTTCCAGCAGGAAACACGAAATCCCCAACACTTCCTCCTTCTGGGGGATTTGATCCCCCATGGCCACCGTTAACAGCATCATTGTGCTGGATGATGACGAAGATGAAGCTGCTCAGCCAGGGCCCTCTCACCCACCCCCCAATCCAGCCTCACCCCAGGCAGAAGCCCCTGGCTCCTCCCAGCCCCTTGGGGCTGGAGGAAGCGGTAGTTCGGGCGGCAAGAAATGCTACAAGTTGGAGAATGAGAAGCTGTTTGAAGAGGTGAGCTTTAGGGGAGAAGATTCTTGTACCCCAGGGAGGGGGGTGGCTCACTGGCACTCCTGTCCTTTTTCCCCCCACTAATCCTACCATGCCTTCTTTCTCTCAACCCCCTCCCTTGTCTCTCTCCCCCTCCCTTCTTCCCCCGAACCCTCCAGTTCCTTGAACTGTGTAAGGCGCAGACGGTAGACCACCCTGACGTGGTCCCATTCCTTTGTAAACGGCAGCAGCGTGCCCACTCTCTGTTTTTGGCCTCAGCGGAGTTTTGCAACATCCTCTCTCGGGTCCTGTCTCGGGCCCAGAGCAGGCCAGCTAAGCTCTATGTCCACATTAATGAGCTCTGCACTGTTCTCAAGGCTCACTCAGCCAAGAAAAAGCTGAACCTGGCCCCTGCTGCCACCACCTCTGGCGAGCCCTCTGGGAGTAACCCTCCCACAGACACTTCCACAGACGCCACAAATGCTGAGACCACTGGCTCTGAGGCCCCAAGGACCCGTGGTTCCCGGCGGCAGATCCAGCGCTTGGAGCAGCTGCTAGCACTCTATGTGGCAGAGATTCGGAGACTGCAGGAAAAAGAGTTGGATCTCAAAGAATTGGATGACCCAGACTCCACATACATGCAGGAGGCAAGGTTGAAGCGGAAGCTGATCCACCTCTTTGGGCGGCTGTGTGACCTGAAAGACTGCTCTTCGCTGACAGGCCGCGTCATAGAGCAGCGCATTCCCTACCGTGGGACCCGCTACCCAGAGGTTAACAGGCGCATCGAACGGCTCATCAACAAGCCGGGGCCTGATACCTTCCCTGACTATGGAGATGTGCTGCGGGCTGTGGAGAAGGCAGCTGTACGCCACAGCCTTGGCCTCCCCCGACAGCAGCTCCAGCTCATGGCTCAGGATGCTTTCCGAGACGTGGGCGTCAGGTTACAGGAGCGACGCCACCTTGATCTCATCTACAATTTTGGCTGTCACCTCACAGATGACTATATGCCAGGTAGGGATTAGTGAGATGCCCATCAATAACCCTTATGTATATCAGGTGTGTGGTAGAGGGGACATCTCTCTAGTCTCTTCTAGGGTTTGACTTCGTGTTTTCCTGCATAGGCATTGATCCGGCACTGTCAGATCCCGCCCTAGCCCGGCGTCTGCGGGAAAACCGGAGCTTAGCTATGAGCCGGCTGGATGAAGTCATCTCCAAATATGCGATGATGCAAGACAAGAGTGAGGAGGGCGAGAGACAGAAGAGAAGAGCCCGGCTCCCCCAAACCACATCTTCCCACTCTGCGGATCCCCCCAAAGGCTCCTTGGATTCTGGTGAGGTGTGGAAGGGATACACCCTTCAGAGAGACCTTGTCCTTCCCCTGCACTGGCCAGCAGGGACTCCAGGGTGACCCATGGGGGAGTGTGCAGAAGGAACACAGAATCAGATCCTCTGGGGCAAGGGATTCCTTAGAGAAACTCCTTTGTCCCCCAGGGCCCTAGTGGAATGGCATCCCAGGAGTGCCCTACCACCTCCAAGGTTGAGACAGATGACGAAGATGAAAGTGATGATGAGGAAGAGGAGGAGGAGGAAGAAGAGGAGGAGGAGGAGGAGGCCACAGATTCCGAAGAAGAGGAGGACCTGGAACAGATGCAGGAAGGTCAGGGGGATGAAGAGGAGGAGGAGGAGGAGGAGGAAGAGGAAGCAGGTATGTCAAGGAAAGTCTCACTGCTAGTTCCCTCTACTCTGTTGGGAATGGGCCATCTGCTTGAGACCCTTCCCTTCCTCCTCTCACTCCTAGTGTCTTCCCAGCGGTATTCTCTCCTCTGGTTCTCTTGCTACCCCTCGCCTCTTTTTTTTCTTTTCCAGGTAATGATGGAGACAAGAGCCCCATGTCCTCACCACAGATCTCCACTGAAAAGAACCTGGAACCTAGCAAAGGGATCAACAGGTCTTCAGGGGAGCAGCAAAACAAAGGACTCATAGTGTCACCATCTTCACTGTCAGAAGAGCCCCTGGCCCCCTCCAGTATAGATGCTGAAAGCAATGGAGAATACCCGGAGAAAGACAGTCCTGTGTCTCAGGTCTTTGAGCTAGAAATTGAAGCCTTGACTGTGGATACTCCCCCTTTCCTTGGGGAGGGGGACATTTCCTCTTCCAGGAAGCAATCAGAGGACCCCCTTACCACTGTCTTGGAGAATGGAGCAGCCATGGTGACCTCCACTTCCTTCAATGGAGGTGTCTCTCCTCACACCTGGGGAGATTCTAGTCCGCCCTGCAAGAGATCTCGGAAGGAGTGGCAAACAGGAGCAGGGCCATTAGGAAACAGGTAACAACAAGGAGGAAGAAGAGGGAAGCTAAGGAGGGATTGCAGGGAGCTTTCTGAGAGGAGTATTAGGGAATTGAGTCTGCGGGGGGGAGACTGGACACTCTCCCTCCAGCCTCAGGCCCCCTACATTTATGTTTCTATCCCTAGCTATGTCGAAGGACAAAGGGCAGTACATGAGAAGACTAGGAAGAAAATGTGTACCATGCCCAGCCCACCTTCCCCCTTGGCTTCAATGGCCCCAGTTGCTGATTCCTCAACAAGAGTGGACTCTCCTAGCCATGGCCTGGTGACCAGCTCTCTCTGTAGCCCATCTCCGGCCCGGTTCTCCCTAACCCCCCAGTCACAACCCTCCCAGCCTGGTACTTACAAGGTAAGAGGGGGAGGCTGATTTTCCTGACTTCTCTTTCAGTGTCTGCGCAGTTTCAGGCACTGCATCTGAATGTTGCACCTACCACATGCTGTCTTCCACACCCCAGCTTTTAAACTCTGCTAAGTCCTTTCGTCTGCTTCTCTATATTCCAGACCTCTCTGACTCTGCCTCTCACTCCCTTGCAGATGAGTGTGGCCACACAGTGCGACCCAGAGGAGATCATCGTGCTCTCAGACTCTGATTAGCTGGCTCCTCGCCACTCCCTGCCTCTAAAATATTTGGGCATAGTATTTGGAGGATTCTGGGAAACAAATGACTGAGGAAGAAATGGACTGAGCTAATCCCCTTTTGGTGGTGTTTCTTTAAAAAAAAAAACACAAAAAAACACCCAAGTTTTACACAGAAACAATAAACAATGAAGTTCTTTTCTTATGGTACCCGTCTTGTCTTTGTCCTGCTGCTCTCACTGATTGGCACCAGCTGTACTCAGGCTCAGGGTTAGCCCGGCCCCGGGGTATCCCTATATCTGTCCTTTCTAGCCTGCCCTTAGCCTGTCTCTCTTGGAGTTTCCTCGCCCTCATGCTTTCCCCCTGCCCTTGGCCACACACTAAAAAAATGTGCTTCAGCCTCCTGAACGCGCTTTACTTTCTCACTTCGAGCGGTAGGAGTAAAAAGGCCAATCAGGGGCCGACTCAAGGTTATTCGGCCAATCCAGGCCTAGAGGAAGGGGGCGGGGTGTCAGGGGGACTGTCAGAAGCTGCGAGACTAGGGCGTTTAGACCCCGCAAACCAGCTGATGGCCACAGCTCGGAGGCCGAGACCCATCGCCAGTGGTAAGAGGCAGTCTTACAGAATTAAAGGGGAATGAGTGCTTGGGCCGCTCCAAGTCCTGAGTCCTCAGCGGCGGAAGAGACCTGGTACCTTTAAGGTGGAATGATGCGACTGTTTTTTAAAGGAGAAGTGACTGAGTCGGCAGAGTATTATCCAGCGGAATGGGCGGGGTGCCCGCCTGTGCCTTTAAAGCCGGAGGGACGGGAGGCGGAGCGGAGGCGGAGGGTGGAGGGAGTCGGCGCAAGATGGCGGCGGGAGGGGCCCAGGTTGCGGCTCTGGCCGCCGAGTGAGGGGCGGGGGGGGCCCGGGGGCGCGCGGCCCGGTAAGCGGGGACGCGCGGAGTTGGGGGGTACCTTCCGGGTGGGAGAGGAGGTCGAAGTAGCTCTTAGGGCGGAGCAGAGGGGGGCGGGGTCCGGTGTGGGCGGGGGTATGCAAGGGGCGGAGCCTGAGATGCCACCGGGGGCGGGTCTTGGAATGGGGCAGGGCCGAATGGGCCTGGGGGCGGGTCTTGACGGGGCTAGGCTCGAGATAAGCAGGGGGCAAAAGGGGCGTTACTGGCCAGAAAGCCGGGGGCATAGCCTAAAGGGAATTGGAAAGAAGGTGGTTTTCCATACCAGAGCAGGCCTACCCCCTCCCAAGAAAAGGGTGAAAAACGCCAAAAAGGTAAATTTTGAAAAGTCAGGTCCTCAGGCAAATAGGAAATTCCCAGGGGAGGTACCCTACTCCCAAAGAGCAGCTATTTCTCTAACCTCAAAGGAAACAGCACTGCATTTGGAGTCAGGACACCTGCGTTTACTGAGGCTGGCACTTGCTGGCTTTGTGATCATAATGTCTTAATCTTTCTTAGCCTCAGTTTTCTTATCTGTCAGATGGAGTTGAGAAGAACATCTCCATCACAGTATTGTGGGGAGTTACTCAGATAATGGGTGTGAACGTGTTTTTAAACTGTAAAGGGCTGTTTCATTATGAGATGTTATCATTCTTCTCTTTTTTCCTTCCCAGAGACCCCCCCGGCCGCCCTCCTCCTCCCCTTGCTCCTGTGGCTGGGGGGGGTACCCCCTCCCTCCACACCATGGAGCCATCTCCTCTGTCTCCAAGTGGGGCAGCTGTCCCTCTGCCTCTGTCGCTGGCCCCACCCCCACTACCCCTGCCTGCAGCTGCAGTGGTACACGTGTCCTTCCCGGAGGTAACCAGTGCCCTCCTGGAATCCCTCAATCAGCAGCGGCTACAGGGCCAGCTCTGCGATGTGTCCATCCGAGTGCAGGGCCGGGAGTTCAGGGCTCATCGTGCTGTCCTGGCTGCCTCCTCGCCTTACTTCCACGACCAGGTCCTGCTCAAGGGCATGACCTCCATCTCGCTGCCCAGCGTCATGGACCCAGGCGCCTTTGAGACTGTCCTGGCTTCAGCTTATACTGGCCGCCTCAGCATGGCTGCTGCTGACATTGTCAACTTCCTCACAGTGGGTTCTGTGCTCCAGATGTGGCACATTGTGGATAAATGTACTGAACTCCTCCGTGAAGGCCGGGCCTCAGCCACCACTGCCACCATCACCACTGCTGCAGCCACCTCAGTCACTGTCCCTGCTGCTGGGGTCCCGTCAGGGAGTGGAGGCACCATGGCCCCTGCCACCATGGGCTCTGTGCGCTCCCATGCCTCCAGTAGGGCCAGTGAGAACCAGTCCCCCAGCAGCAGCAACTACTTCAGCCCCCGAGAGTCCACTGATTTCTCATCTTCCTCCCAAGAGGCTTTTGCAGCTTCTGCAGTGGGCAGTGGGGAACGTCGAGGAGGTGGCTCTGTATTCCCAAACCCTGTGGTTGCCAGTGGTGAGGCTACCTCTGGGAAGCTGCTGCTGGAGGCAGATGAACTGTGTGATGACGGTGGGGATGGGAGGGGTGCGTTGGTCCCTGGGTCTGGGCTCCGGCGGCCCACCTATGCACCCCCCAGCATCATGCCACAGAAACACTGGGTATATGTGAAGCAGGGTAGAAACTGTCCAGCACCAGCGCCCCAAGTTCCCCAAGACCAAGATCTGGAAGAGGAGGAGGAGGAAGACCTGGTGTTGACCTGTGAAGATGATGAAGATGAAGAGCTAGGGGGTGGCTCTGGGGTTCCAGCGGGAGAAGGACCTGAGTCTACCCTTAGCATAAGCGATGTCCGGACCCTGAGTGAGCCTCCGGACAAAGGAGAGGAGCAGGTCAATTTCTGTGAGTCCTCCAATGACTTTGGTCCATATGAAGGTGGGGGTCCTGGGGCAGGGCTTGATGATTCAGGGGGGCCGACCCCATCCTCCTATGCCCCTTCCCACCCACCCAGGCCCCTGCTTCCTGTGGACATGCAGGGCAACCAGATCCTAGTCTTCCCATCGCCTTCATCCTCCTCCTCTTCACAGGCTCCAGGCCAGCCACCAGGGAACCAAGCTGAACACGGGGCGGTGGCCATGGGGGGCACCTCTGCAGGGGGCCTGGGCATGCAGGGTGGCGCTGTTGGAACCCCTGGAGGGACAGGCAGCGGGGATGGGAATAAGATCTTTCTGTGCCACTGCGGAAAGGCCTTCTCCCACAAGAGCATGAGAGATCGTCATGTGAACATGCATCTCAACCTGCGGCCTTTTGACTGCCCCGTGTGCAACAAAAAGTTCAAGATGAAGCACCACCTGACCGAGCACATGAAGACGCACACAGGCCTCAAACCTTACGAGTGTGGCGTCTGCGCCAAGAAATTCATGTGGCGAGACAGCTTCATGCGCCACCGAGGACACTGTGAGCGCAGGCACCGCCTGGGCGGGGGCGGAGCCGGACCCGGACCCGGACCCGGGGGGCCCACCGGACCAGCCTTGCTACCCAAGAGAGAGTCCTCCGGGGTGGGTGGGGGCAATGACGATGAGGTGAGTGGGGCCATGCCCCCCTCCAGCCGTCGGGTCTGGTCCCCACCCAGCGTCCACAAAGTGGAGATGGGCTTCAGTGGGGGCGGAGGAGCAAACTGAAGAGGCTACTGAGGGTAGCTTTCAGGGAAGAGGAAATAGGGAGCACGAGTCAGGGGCCCCCTTTGGCCCCCAGGTGATCTCCCACCATGGTTACTGTCTTCCTTATCTCTGTGGACTTGTATATATTCTGGAGGGCGAAACACATTGCGCCATCGACCACCCCATTCCACTCCTCAGCCCCTCCCCTTCAAAGTATCCCTGGAACTAAGCCCTTCCTTTCCCTCACATGGGTACACTGAGGCCCCAGCTCCAGGGTAGGGCACATGTGGTGGGGGGAGGGAAAGGGCGCCTGTTGAGCATTCTGGAGTCACAGGGTCAAGGGTCAGGTGGTGTAGTCTGTACCTGAAGTCTGTATTTGTGTTGTGGGGACCAGGCCTTTGAGCCCCATCCTTGTCCTAGAACCCACTCCGCACCTCCCCCAGGATGTACTCTTTATTTCTACCCTAATCCCTCTTCCCGCTTCTTGGGGCCCCTCAACTCTATTCTCTTTGGGGAGGGAGTAAGTACAAGGGAGTAGGAGTACAAGGTTTTAATTTTAAATCTTATTTTTTTTAAATGGTGATTAAAATATTTATTGGTCATTTCACTTGGCTTCACGAGAACCCCTATGTGTTTGCTGGGGACCTGGCACAGGTGGGGGAAGGCGGAGTAATGGTTCGCGAATGAGTGGATTCTACGGGGAGGAGACGAGAGGGGAGGCCCGGGGAGGGCTCTGGGACTCTGCGGTAATGGATAGTCCTGGCGGACTGGGCACGGCTGAGGTCCCCAGACCAGAACTGGAGAGGACGTTCCGGGCTCCCTACCCCACCCATGGGGGAAGCACCTGCCTCCTACGCGCCCTCACCTAACCAGAGCGGGGATTTCCTCGGCCCCTCCTGCTCGCCTTGTTTCGAGAAAAGTGAAAGTGAAAGCAGGAAGAGGAGGCTTCGAGGTTGAGGAGATCGCGGCGCCATGAAGCCCCTGTTCCTGCTCCTCGCTCTGGCTTTTGGTGAGCGAACCCCGCGACTCCTTGCCCTGGAACAGAACGAGGGGGAAGCGCAGGGAGGTGACCCCGTCGGCGCCCAATGCCGGACGGGGGTGGGGAGAGGATCGGGTCACCTGACTTCTGAGCCGCCTCCTCACTCGCGCCCCTCTCCCCCAGGTTTGGGGACCACCGTCTCGGCGGGACCCGCGGTGATAGAGTGCTGGCTTGTGGAGGATGCCGGCAGGGGCCGCCTGGCCAAGAAACCGGCCGCATTGCTGCTGCGTCAGGGCTCAGGGAGAGTACCTCCCCGGCCGGACCTCGACCCAGAGCTCTACCTCAAAGTGCATGGTGAGTCTTCCCGGACTCACCCCCAAGTCAGTCACCTCCCCCGAAACGTTCTCCTCTTTAGGTCGCGCAGTGACCTCGGGCCTCGGTTTCCTCCTCTGTAAAATGAACCTGGATTACCTCTAAGTTTCTACCTACGAGTAGTCTGTACATTTGAGATTCCCTGGACGTTCCCCTCCCCGCCCTTTTCCTGGCAGTGACTCGACAGCTGTAACCCCTTTCTCCACACTCGCAGACCCCGCGGGCGCCCTCCAGGCTGCCTTCAGGCGGTACCCCCGGAGTGCTCCCGCGCCACACTGCGAGATGAGCCGCTACGTCCCGCTCCCCGCGTCAGCGAATTGGGCCAACGACCTGACCCCAGAGAAGAGTTGCCCTCGATCCCTGGACGGGACTTGGTTTATGGTCAGTATGTCCAGCCCGGTCCTCAGCGTTTCCAGCCTCCTGCGACTACAGTCCGAGCCTCAGCCGGAGCCTGCACTCATCACCATGGCAACAGGTAATTTGGGAGTAGGAGTGGAAATGAATGGGTGGATTCTAACGGTCACGATAATCCCGCGATTGCTTTGTGGACTTGAGCGAGTCATTTCCCCAATCAGAGTTCAGTTTCCTTATTTGTAAAGCAAGTGGGTTTGGCTAAAGTGAAACAATCTACCTCTACCTCTTCTAGCCCTTGACCACTTTAAAAGTAATAATAATAATAATAATAATAACTACTACTACTACTACTACTACTACTACTACTACTACTAATATCCTGAGGTTTAGGGGCGGGGCTTCGTGGTGTTTCTATAGGCGAAGCTTTGGAAAGAGGCGGGGTTTCCAGACACCAGACCTTGAGAAAGTTGTAAGGCACGAGGTTGGGAGGGAGCCCAGAAGCAGGAGTTTTTTTCTCCTCTCCTCCCAGATCTATGTCTTGTTAGGCACCTCCTCCTTTGCAGTTCACCCTGGTCAAAACCTGACTGAGACCCACCTGCCCCACATCCGGCGCTGTGGCAGTCAGCAAAGCAAAGCTCTTTCGCTCTAGAGCGTTGACTTTCCTGACAGCCCATTCCCTATGGCTCGTGGGGATGCGCTGACTCTGTGGTCACCAAATGGTGCCCTCGAGTGGGCGAAAGGGATACAGTGGGAGACCAGATGCACCCCTTTGCAAGGACTGCTTATTGCTTCAGGCAACGCTGTTTGAGGCCCAGGGGTCTCGTAGTTGGCTGGGCTGGGTCTCCGGGAGGGAGGGGGCAGATAAAGCAAGAATGAGGAAGATCTGACTGGTAAATCTGGGAGCTCACCCTACTCGCAGCGGAGGGTGGGAGGGTATGAGTGGAGTCCTCGACTTCCCTCAGTTTTGTGAGATTTTTACGTAAACGACACAGCCTGACCATCAAGTCAACCTGTCTAACCCTGCACCCTCCCTTCCCCACTACCTCCTCCATGACACCCTGCTTGCTGAGCCAGAATCAGCTGCGGGACCAGGGAACCAATTCAGTACCTACCTTGCAATCCTCACCTCTGCCTACACCTTCATTCTTACTCCCCACACCCCACCCTGGGCAGGAGCACAAGTAAACTGCCCATGGGTACAGTAGCTCTCTCCCAGGGCTACTGGCTTCACCGAGGTGGGGGTGAGAATGTCCTTTCTCTCTGAGTCTGTTTTTCCAACTGTAAAATGTGGATACTATTTCCCATCTGCCTTTTTGTTGTTGGGACTATCAAGGGAGATTGTTAATTTATTCACTGATTCAATAAATACTTATTAGCATCAAGAACAAATTAGGACCCAGTAGTTCTCAGTCCAGGCTGCAAATAAGAATCCTCTTGGAAGTTTCTAAAATATACTGAAACCTGGGTCCCACTCCGGGCAAATTAAATCAGAATCTCTGGGATGACCCTGAGCCCCTTAAGGGTCACAAAAGTAATCAGATGTAGATCCTGCTCTCAAGAAGGTTCTTGGCCGATTTGTCATGGATAATTGTAGAATAGAAAGCCACTTGGGCCCTGAAAGAAGTTGCAGTCTGTGGAGTGCCCAGGACTTTGCATCTCACAGACCACTGAGGGTAAAAACTAGTTGCTGTGCTCAGTGTTCCTTTTTAAGCATTTCTGCTTGATAAAGGATGTAAAATTAAAAATGGAATCTTTGCAGGGTCACAGATCATTGATGATTTTGCTAATATACATTTATACATTATTTATCAAATACTTTAAAATGTTGACAAATATACCTTATTAACATACTTTATGTGTATGATATTTAATTCTCAATGTTCTTGTAAAACATTGTTATGGAAAATTTCAAAGATACACCAAAAGAGAGAGAGAGTAGTGAAATGAACCCCCATATACCACCCACTAGTATAGTTGTTGCATTTTACAAAATTGTTTCACCTATCCTACCCCCCCCACCTTCTTTCCTTTTATTGAAGTGTTTTAAAGAAGATCCCAGGCATCATATTATTTTACTCCTAAGTAATTCAGAGAGTATCTTTATTAAATAAGGACTTGAATAAAAACAACAATACCATTATCATATCAAACAAAACAAACAATAATTCCTTAATATTATTTAATTCCTAGCCTTTATTAAAAATTTTCCAGTTGTCTCGATGTCTCAATGTTATTTTATAGTTTATTTGCTCAAATCAGGATCAAAAACAGATCCATATATTATATTTGGTTGTTGTATTTACTTGCACTGCCATAACAAAATATCATAGATTGGTAGGCTTAAACAACAGAAATTTATTTTCTCAAAGCACTGGAGACTAGAAGTCCAAGATCATGTCCAAATCAGGGTGTCAGCAGGGTTGGTGTCAGATGAGAGCACTTCCCTTATGTATGTGTCCTCACAGGAGGAAAGAGAGAGAGCTCTAGTGTTTCTTTTCTTTTCTTTTTTTTTAAGACTTTGTTGGGGAATTGGGGGATAGGAACAGTGTTGGGGAATTGGGGGAGGGGACAAGTTGCTGTCGTTTTGTTCTTCAATCTAGTTGTGGAGGACGTCGCTTCACTGGTCCATGTTAGTATTATCATTGGGCTCTTCCCGGGTGAGGCAGTCATCTGTCCAGCCCCACTGCAGCCTACCCATCACCGGCCACTCACGGCAGCCCAGTTCCAGGTCGAGTTGTTGTTCATCATCTTAGCTGTAGAGGGCAGTGTCACTGGCCCACATGTGGGATCCGAACTGGGGCCCTGCTGCTCAGAGCTGGTGTCCTAAGCCAACTTTTAACCAATGCGCCACTCGGCCAGCCCTAGTGTTTCTTTTCTTATAAGGGCACCATCTCTATCAGATTAGGACCCTACCTTTATGACCTCATTTAATCTCTCCCATCTCCTCACAGTCCCTGTCTCCAAATATAGTCACATTGTAGATTAAGTTTTCAATATGTGAATTTGGGAAATGGGGAGACCACAAACAGTCAGTCCATAGCAGTCTGTCTCTTAAATCTCTTTTATTCTATAATTGCCCACCCCCTGCATAAATGCTATTTATTGCTTTGTCATTTGTTCTATAGAATTTCCCACATTCTATATTTGGCCAATTGTTTCCTCATGTCATTTCCCTTGTTCCTTTTCCTCCATATTTCTTATAAATTGGTGGTTATATTTAGAGTCTTCACTAGATTTGAGTTTAAATGTTTTTCAGTAATACTTTATAATAGTTATCATTCATTTTTTTCAAACAGAAAAGCAAAAACCTATATAATATAAGCTGCAAAAACAAATAGAAATTTCCTTACTGTTCTGGCCCTGCTGTATTTACACTTGTATTTTTCATGGAGTCCAGTTAGTGGGCTGCAGATATAAAATTGCTTCAGTAACCCACCTATACTAAAGAGCACTGTTAGTTTAAAGGTTAAACTGTAAAACCTCTAGGTTTTGCTTATTTATCCTGTGGATATTTATAACAATTCCAAAGTATGTTTCTGGGTTTTGATAAACAAGTGACATTGCCTACTGTTTTTACTCTGTTGAATGAAAACAATCCCATGAGGCTGAGAAATGTTTAACCTCGTATACCTCAAAAACTGGGATTAAAAATTACATACACATAATCACAAGAGAAAAAAATATTGGGTTGTCAGAAAAGTCATGACACGTGTTTGCAATAGATGGCACTAGTTCATTTTTGCAAGTGCTGGAGTCATTCGCATCTATGTTATTGCTATGTCATTTGACAGCTGACAGTTCTAGCTTCATCTAAAAAAATTGAGCAATTTGGTTGAGTTTTGGAGATTTTACAAGTTGAAGATGGAAGACCAAGCTGTGCATTTTTGCCATATTTTACTGTTTTACTTCCATAAAGGGAAGAACGTGCATCAAGCTTATGGAAAGTTGCATAAAGTTTACGGTGACAATGCTCTACAAGAACATCGTGCCAATGATGGTTCATGAAATTCCATGCTGGTGATTTTGATCTCAACAATGCTCCTCGGTCAGGGAGACCCACCGAGGTTGATGATGACAAAATAAGGGCATTGATCGAGTCAAACCCACGTTACACGACATGAGAGATTGCAGAAACATTGAACATCCATCATCCAAGCGTTCATGACCACCTGAAGAGGCTTGGATATGTAAGCAAGCTCGATATTTGGGTTCTGCATGAACTCAAAGAAGTTCATTTGACGGCGCGTATAAACATCTGCAATATGCTCATTAAACGTGAGGAAAACGATCCTTTTTTGAAGCGACTGATAACTGGTGATGAGAAGTGGATTGTTTACAACAATATGGTGCACAAACAGCCTTGGTCCCGACGTGATGATTCGCCTCAAATGACATCGAAAGCAGACATTCATCAGAGGTAGGTTATGCTTTCAGTGTGGTGGGATTTTAAAGGTGTCGTGTTTTTCGAGCTCCTACCAAGGAACCAAACAATCGATTCTAGTGTGTACTTTCAGCAATTGGACAGTTTGAATGAATCCATCATCCAGAAACGTCCAGAGCTTGTTAATTATAAAGGAGTTGTGTTCCATCGCGACAACGCGAGACCACACACAAATTTGATCACCCGTCAAAAATTATTGGAGCTTTGGGCCGGCCGAGGATACATTGGTTAAGAGTTGGCTTGGGACGCCAGCTCTGAGCAGCAGGGCCCCGGTTCGGATCCCACATAAGGGCCAGTGATGCTGCGCCCTCTATAGCTAAGATGGCGAACAACAGCTCGAGCTGGAGCTGGGCTACCGTGAGTCACCGGTGATGGAATAGGCTGCACTAGGGCTGGCTGGCAGCTGGAATGAGCTTTCGTGAGCTGCTGTGAACCACCATGAGGAGTCACCGGTGATGGAATAGGCTGCACTAGGGCTGGCTGGCAGCTGGAATGAGCTTTCGTGAGCTGCTGTGAACCACCATGAGTGTCTGTACAATGGCCGGGGAGCGACTGCCTCAGCCGGGAAGAACACAGTGATAATACTAACATGGGTCAGTGAAGCGACATCCTCCACAACTAGACTGAAGAACAAAAGGACAGCAACTTGTCTGTTTCCCTTCCCCAATTCCCAAATAAAATCTTAACAAAAAAAAAATTATTGGAGCTTGAGTGGGATGTGTTGCCACACCCACCATACTTGCCTGACCTTGCGCCGTCAGACTTCTACTTGTTTCGCTCTCTTCAAAACTCCTTGCGTGGTATAACATTCAATTCAGGATGAAGCTGTAAATCAGCACGTTGTTCAGTTTTTTGCAAATAAAGACAGGTCCTTCTATGAACGAGGAATTATGAAGCTCACTGAAAGACAACAAAAGGTTATCGAACAAAATGGGCGATATATCATTGATTGATCTTTGTTCTTTATATAAATAAATGACCTTTGAAAAACATAGACAAAATACATCATGACTTCTCTGACAACCCAATATTACTTCCACCAGGAGGACCCAGATATTTTGGGGAGGAAGTGGCAGTGGAACTGACCTTGAGGGACATGGAATATTTATGTTTGGGAGGAAATGGGGAGGGACATTGAAACTGAAGCAACCTTATGACCAAAGCAAAGAAATGCTCATTAGAGTTTTTGCTAGTTGCAAGAAAAGGATTCTATGCAGTTTGTTCTTAGGGTGCAAGAGAAGTCTAGAAAGGTGGGTTGGGAGTTGAATTATCAAGTACCTTGAAATCTGGGCTTCGTAGATGAACCATTAGAAATTTTTTTGTGTGTGTATGCACTATTTTTTCCAAAGAGCCTGTTATTTTACTTGATTCTTACAAAAGGTAGGCAAGGACCAGATCATTGGACTAATGAGGAAAATATAGATTCAGTGATTTCCCCAAGATACCCAGTCCATGATGATTCTGATAATAGTAACGAAAATAGCAACAGCTAACATTTATCAAGCATTTTCTATATGCCAGGTCCTGTTCTAAGCACTTTATAGACATAATCTCACTTATTCCTCTCAGCAACCATTGGAATTATGTACTAATATTATCCCCATGTCACAAATGAAAAATGTCTGAGACTCAGAGCAGTTAGGTAACTTGCCCAAGGACACACATCTAGCTCCAGCCTGTACTTTTAACTGCTGGTTTCCAAGGTAGCTGGAATTTTTAAACAGGCAAGTGACTGGATCAGACTTGTAGCCACACTGGCTACAGTGTGGAGGATGAATTGAAGGAGAGAGAGACTGAGGATAGGGAGACCAGAGAGGAGACTATTGTAATTGTCCAAATGTACATTGATGAGAACTCGAGTTGGGAACAGATGTGAGATCTATTAGGACCTGGTGGGGATAGCACATAGCATATTATATTTGATAATTTACTCATCTCCCTTATTGTACTGTAAGCAATTTGAGGGCAGGGACTGCCCATCTCGTTCACTAATCTGTGCTCTACCTTAAACATCCTAAGTACTCAATAAATGTTAGCTGAATGAATGAAAGGAAGGAGTCTTGTGACTCCAAGTGTTTGCCTTTAGTGTCTGGGGGGCGGGTGGTGATCATTCACCAAAGCAGGAAGGATGGGCTTTGGAGCAGGGTGGGGGGTATTGCAGAGATGCTGTGGAGTTGGGCATGTTAAGTTTGGCAGATGCTTAGGTGTAATCTCAGCAAATGCTTTTGTAGACTTCCTGTGTTCCAGGTACTCTTCTAAGTGCCTTTCATATGTAGGTGTCTTTGTTATCCAGAATCAGGAACTGAATAAATCGAGTAGCAAGAGGGATTAAATAATTTAACCCTGACTACAACCCCGTGAATTAGCTACCATCATCATCATTGTTATCTTTAGGAGATTAGGAAGTGGAGCCATGGAAAAGTGAAGTAAATCCGTCTGAGGCCACATAAATAGCTTCAGAGTTGGGATTAACCAGTGCAGCCAGGCTCCAGGCACTTAACCAGCATAGGTTGCTTCAGTAGATCAGAGAGATCCATGTTCAGGTCTAGGCCAGAGCCAGAACCTTTCAGAGTCAGGAAATACTCTTCATGGCACCATGGGATCAACAATCAGAGACATCATTGTCTTCACCAACAAACCAAGAAAGCCTGGCTCTTTAAAGGTGGTGCATGGAGGCCGGACTGGTTCTGGCTGTGTCGGAAGTGCACTCAGATCCCACTGTCCCAGCCTGCAAGGGCTAGACTTACTCCCTGCTCCTATTCACCTCTAGACCTCTCTGCTCAGCCTCAGTTACACTGGTCCCACCCAGTCCCAGAACAGGCGATTTGCAGGGAGGGCTGGAAGATGGTGAGTCTCAGATGGAGGTGTCTTCTGAGGGGTGGGTAAATTGGAGTTGAGTCCTCCCTTGTCACGTCCTGCGTGGCAAGGGCAAATGGGTCTCGAGAGAGGTGACGCAGATTGAATAAAGTCAAAGAGACAAAAGTAAGATTTGAGCGAGACCAAGGGACTCAGCCAGAGAAGACAGAGCCCCGAATCGGGTCAGCGCATGGCTTTTATTGAGAATCTTCAAAGAAGTAAAACTGCTGTCAATCAATTAGCAACTGTGTGTGATTTGTGTGCCTTAAGGCCTTTTCCATTAACATATCCCATTGTGTTCCAACAAATGCTATGCCTTCACACTTCCGCCACATAGCCCCAGGACACTTGTTACTGTGTCCTCCCAGGGGAGATAACTATTATCATTCCAATAGGTCCCGGTCACCTGAGACACCCCCCAGAGAGAATCCGTGCCTCAGTCATACCGAGACACTCCCTCATAACTAATAGGGTTAGAGGCTAATGCAGGGGGGGGTGGGGGTGGGGGGGTGGTATTGGAATGGCTGTAATGCAACACTCCCTATAACTCCATTTCTCTGTTGTTGTTGTTTTTTCTCTCCTTCCTTTCCTTCACGCCCCTCCTACTCCCTGCTCTCCCCATTTTCCCTAGCTGTGCTGACTGTCCTCACCCACACCCCCATCACTCGAGTTCGACTGGGACAAGATGCTCTGCTGGATTTGAGCTTTGCCTACATGCTTCCCACCCCAGAGGCCACTACATCTCTGGCCTCAGGTCCCCCTCCCTTTGGGCTGGAGTGGCGACGCCAGCACCAGGGTAAGGGGCACCTGCTCCTGGCTGCAAATCCTGGGCTGGATGGGCAAATGCCACCTGCCCGAGATGGGGCAGTGGCATTTGCTGCTTGGGATGATAATGAGCCATTGGGTCCATGGACCGGAAATGGGACCCTCTGGCTGCCTGCAGTGAGGCCCTTCCAGGAGGGCGCCTATATGGCCACCATACACCTGCCATACCTGCAAGGGCAGGTCACCCTGGAGCTTGCTGTGCAGAGTGAGTTGGGGGACATGGGTCCCCATGGGTAGAGGGAGGGCCCTATGGGGACACCATGATGGAGGGATGGTGGAAATGAGGGTGTTGGGTGAGTGGGGAAATACAGGTTGGGGTGCCTGGGAGTCAGAGAGTCAATGGATAGAGGATCCTTGGGAACCTGAGGGACTTTGGGATGAAGGTTCTCAAATCTGAAGGAGTAGGGATCCCTGAGAACTGCAGCTTTGGCATAAAGATTCCTGTGATGCACCAATGGGGAGATAGTGGGTTCCCCATCTTGGGAGAAGAAACCCAGACCCTCTTCAGTTTGGGAGAAGCCAAAGGACAAACTGAGGGTCTCTGAGGGAGGACAATGTGGATTGATTCACCCCATGCTCCTTTCCTACTCTCTTCCCAGAGCCCCCCAAAGTATCCATGATGCCAGCACCTCTTGTATGGGCTGCCCCCGGGGAGGCACCCCCAGAACTGCTCTGCCTTGTGTCCCATTTCTACCCCCCCGAGGGCCTGGAGGTGAAGTGGGAGCTCCGAGGTGGCCCAGAGGGCAGCTTTCAGAAGGGGGAGAATTGGCTCTCAGCCTTGCGCCAACACTCAGATGGCTCTGTCAGCCTCACCGGGCACCTACAGCTGCCCCCAGTCACCTCTGCACAGCACGGGGCACGCTATGCCTGTCGTGTCCACCACCCCAGCCTGCCTGCCTTGGGGCGCAGTGCTGAAGTCACCCTGGAGGTGGCAGGTAAGAGCCAGGAGGGTTGAGAAGGGGGGTAGTGAGTGCCTGAGAAGACACTCCAGAACTCAACTCTTGTCCCTCTTGCATTCCAGGTCACTCTGGACCCTCCCTGGAGGATGGGGTAGGCCTCTTCCTGTCTGCTTTTCTGCTCCTGGGGCTCCTCAAGGCACTGGGCTGGGCAGGTGAGTGTGAGCCCCACCCCCTCCACTGACAGACACTCCCTGCCTACTCCCAGAAGCCCGACACCCATCCTGCCCTACCACTCCCCATCTCATCCCTTCTCCATTTCTCTCCACAGCTGCCTACCTGTCTACTTCCAAGGAGTCAAAGAAGGTAACAGCACTCTACCTTAGCCTTATCTTTCCCTTCTCATTTCATCCCCTTCCCCCAACTCCTCACCCAGGGAGGGAGGCTGCTGGCATGGTGGGCAGAACCCAGACTTGGAATTCACACAGACCTGGGTTAAACCCTGCCGCCTTGAATATGCTACTTAACCATTACCTCAGCCTCCTTGGGTGTAGGGATAACAGCACTGTCCAACGGAAGTGTAACACAAGCCACATATGTAAATTTAAATAATAATCTAGTAGTTACATTCAAAAGGTGTTGATGAAAGAAACATCCAAACCTGTAGAGAATTTTTAAAAATTTATTTGAACCCAAACTGACAACAGTTACAGGGAAGCAAGATCTCAAATGCTCCATAGAATGATTGCAGCTTCTTTTATGTGCTTTAAGGGAATTTAAGGAAGATTACACGAAGGCGGGGAAAGCAAGGTGGGAATTGGATTACAGGATAGTTAACAAAGATTATGTGTTCTCTTGAGGGTGGTCACAGTTTATTTCAAAGGCGTGTTAACCTAGAGGCACAGAAACAATGGACAGGGCTGGCTTACGGCAAAGATAAACCTTTTACTAAAGAAGTTATAGGCCTGGGGTGTGACTACCCACCATGACCTGCCCAGTTAGGAATTTATGATCAGGTCACCCTATGAGGTTACTTTCTGTAGAACCTTTTTCATCTAGAAAGGTAAAAAAGATAAAATTCATTTAATATACTTTATTTCATATATACCCAAAATATTATTTCAGCATGTAATCAATATAAGAAATTCTAGTGTTTTTTCTAAGTCTTCAAAAACAGGTGTTTATTTTAAACTGTGAGCAATTCTGACTAGCCACATTTCAAATGCTCGATAGACACATGTGGGTGGTGGCTACGGCACTGGACAGCGGAGCCCTTAGAGAGCTGTTGGGAGGATGAAAGGAGATAGTGTATCTCCTGTGGAAGATGCAGCAGCAAAAGCACTCGCCACAGTGTCTGCCAGGCAGAAAACATAGAAAATGTTAGCCCCTTTCTTCTGCCACCCTCTGTAATCGTGATGGTTCACTTATCTCGGATTAACCATGAGCACATCACCAAGCTTTCTAAAACCCCAAATTCCTCACCTCATTTTTACTTCTTTTTCAGAAAGCACAGTGAAGGCTCTCAACACCACATTGGGGAGCCACCATCATCCCTGGCCTGAGCTGCTGTAGAAATCCCCCCACAAATAGTATGCCATCACCTGCTTCTGCCCCTTCCCATCTCTCTCCACTGAGCGGCTGGAATGCTCTTAAAAAGACCCAAATTGACAGCATTCACTTTCTTAAGAGCTCTAGGGCAGTGGTTCTCAAAATGTCTGGTCTCAGGACATCTTAAAAATCAAGGACTCTAAAAAGATTTTGCTTATGTGGGTTATAAACTATAGATATTTATTATACTAGAACTTAAAACTGAGAAAAGTTTAAAGCAGAATACACAAGCTCACATTCCATTAGCTGTAAGGGTGATAATGTCAGTATACATTTAGCTTCTGGAAAATGTCACTGTACACTTTTAAGAGAATGAGTGTGAAAAAGGCAAATAACATCTTAATAGTGTTATGAAAATAGTATTAACTTCGTATACCTAGTGAAATACTCTCAGGGACCTCTGGGGCAGAGCCCACACTTGAAGAACCAGTGCTCTCAAAATCAAGGCCAAATCCGTTCTTCTTGCTTTTGGCATACGCATTTCCGACGATGGAGCCCCTGCTTACTTCTTCAACCCTCTCAGTGCTCTTCACACCGACTGCTACTCTTTTCCTCTATTGGCCTTCCAACCTCCTTGGGTTCCAGAGCTCTGCTCCCCCTGCCCGGTCTGCCCTCGCTCTCCCTGGGCTCCAGACCAGGTCAGCCTCGTCATTTCCCTCGGACCACCGCATGTCCCTCTTGTGCGGTTCACCATGGTTGTATTTAAGTGATTGTGCGAGTCATCGTTAAGCCTGTCTCCCCTCCTGGACTCTCAGCTCCTCGAAGGCAAGAACAAGCCTGTCTGTCCAGTGCTGTATCCCCCGCGCCCGCGCTGGGCCTAGCGCCCACTGGAGGGCGCTCGGTATAAGAAATTATAGTCTTTTCGCCCTAAGTGTTCAAAAACAGGCGTGGGGTCAAATAACTACTAGACGAAGGAATTGGTGGCTCGACGTGGGGAACTTCGAGGGGCAGGGCGGTGGGCCAGACTGACAGAGGGAACGGGTCTAATCTGGTGGGAATAAAGTTGTGTTCCAGTGCTTCCAACGGGTGTCTCATTTCCACCCCAGGCTCCCCTTTCCAAGCACAATGGCTCCACCAAATTACCTCTGGCCCTTTGCAATCACCCCGACCTCCCGGTGACACTCAATCCCCCTGCGAAACAGTTTGGGGTCCGGCGCCACTGTTGCTGGACCCAACGTCCCCCAGCAGCAAGCGCTCCCAGCTAACCCAGGGAGCAGAGAACCCGGCCTCAAGCGCCGGAAGCTGCCGAGCGCCCTCTCTGGAACCGGATGTAGCGGCTTCCTGCTCCGCCTCCTCCCCTGACGGGAGGGCGGGCCCTGAAGGCTCCCCGGAAAACCCGGAGTGGGTTTAGGGCCGGTCCGTGCGTGGGTGGGGTGGGGTGTGTAACCCCGCGGGATAGAGTAACTGGGTCCTTCCCCGCTAAAACGCGTCCCGCGGGAGTTTTAGTTTGTGTGGGGGGAAGGGCATGTCAAATTCTCCTGTCCTCCCCTGGGGTTGGAGATTAGAATCTTTATCCCAATTCAGTGGGGGCGACGTGGGCTCCAGGATCCCCGAGTTAGGAGGGCTGGAGGACAGCGGAGCTGGGGACCCGGGGTCCTGGCCCCTGGCCCCTGGGCGTCCAGCGCTCCCCAAGTCCGCGGGCCTGGCTCCTGTCCTCACTTCCTTCCCTTTTTGGCTCCTGCTCTCGGAGCGGGCGGACGTTGGGGGGAGCGGAAAGGGCGGTAGGGCCCGGGAGCCTGGCGGGGGGGAGTACAAGGGGGTGCGGAAAAGCCGGGGAGGGGACTCGGTCGGGGGCTGGAGACGGACAGGAACAGCTGCCCGGGACCCGCGCACTGCCCCCACCCCTTCCGAGCAGGTCAGAGCCAGAGCACCTTGTGACCCTGCCCGTTTCCGTATTCGTGACCCCTTAATCCCCCAAATGCATAGGGCCCCCCATGTTGCACCCCCGTGTTGCCCCTTCCCTAGCCTCCCTGCAGGACTCGTTACCTAGACAACTACCCGCGTCCCTCCCGGCTCCCGGGTGCCCACCTGCTTCTCCACTCGCCACCCCCTCCTTTCTCTCCCCAGGCGCCCCCATGGCCCGACCCCGCTAACTCCACTCGGCCATGCTCCGGCGGCCCCTGCGGCTGCTTTGGGACCCGAGCCCCCCCGGGGGAGTCGTGCTGAGCAGCTTCCGGAGCCGAGACCCCGAAGAAAGTGGGGGCCCAGGTGGCCGGGGCGTGTGTGAGGGGCAGGAGGAAGAGGAGGAGGAGGAAGAAGACGAGGTGAGATGCAGGTGGTGGGAGGTTGGGGGGATATATTTCAGGGGCTCCACCTTTCCGTGTCTGTGTCTCTGCATCTCTTCCCCCCTGACTCAGTTATTTCCGTTCCTTTTGCTGGTGTCTGCCTTTTCCCGGGTTGCGGGGAGTCCTGGAGTTTCTGGTTCTTTGTGGCAGTGTGACTCAAGACCTGCCCGCAGGAACCTGCCCTGTTAGTGCCAGGAGCGTCTGGCTGGTTGTCTTGCGGGTCTCTGGCTTTCTGCACCTGGGCCTGAGCGTGCCGGCCTCTCAAGGCTTTGTGTCTTGGTCCCTTGTTTTTGTTTGGTGGGGAGGGGTTTGTTTCCACAGTAACCGGCTCCTCTGACTCTGGGATTGGGGAGGGAACCCTTCGATTTCGTGACCCCTCCCCCTCTCCCTCTGGGCGCTGGGTGGAGGTGGGAAGCCTAGGCTCTTGGATCTTGGAGGGACGGCTCCAGGCTGAGCCGGGATGGTCACCTGCTTTCCTCCGGGACTAATATGGGGGCGGTGGCCAGGAGCAGGATTTGTGCCCCAGGAAGGGCCAGAAGTTGGATTTGGGGCCCGGAGGCCCTGGACTCTAGGCTCCAAGGGGCTGGGTGAGGGCAGGGTGACTGGCAGGGCTGGTTTTTCGGGATCGGTTGGGGGAGGGGCTGGAGCCACGTGACTTCCAGAGTCTACCCCCCCCCCCCCCACACACACACATATCATCCCTACTTCCCCTTCTCCTTCCTGTACTGGCATCGGAGCGGCCACCTTGGGGGGTGGGGGTGGGGGTCTCCAGGGACCAGGGGAAAAGGGGCTAAGGGGAAGGACTAACTCTGGGCTTTCCACTTCCTTCTGGGGAGGGCGGAGCATGCGGCTGTGCCTGTGACTGAGGTTTCAACTTCTCAAGGTCTCTGTCTCTAGCTTTCTGTCTCTGTGCTTCCCTCTCCTACGCTCTACACCTTGCTTCTCTGCTGGGTTGGGGTTCAGCTCTGGGGGCAAGGGGCTACAGCAGTCTCCAAGATCAGGGTTTCTGCATTCCACCCACCCCTCCACTGCAACCCCCTCTACTCCACCGGGCCCTGAGGCGGCTTGGGTGGGGCTGTCTGGGCCTCAGTGGGGGAGACCTGGGGTCACCAGCCCCCCCCACCACTCGCACTCGTTGGTACTGTGCCCTGCCGCCACAGGTGAGGGGTGCAGAGGGAGGAGTAGGGCCTGGGGGTGAGGGCTGGGGGCAGTGGGCAGTGGGTGGTGGTGTGGGCCTATCTGACCTCCCCTTCCTTATTCCTGCAGGCTCCTGTGTCTGTCTGCGATGAGGAGGAGAATGGTGCCATCTTTACTGTCACAAGCCGCCAGTATCGGCCTCTTGATCCTTTGGTGAGATCATAACTTTGGCTTCTCACCTTTGATCCATCAACCCCAGAATGGCCAACTATTAGGCCAAAGTGCTGGTTGGAAGTCTGGAGACCAGGACTCTGCTGTGTGACTTAGGTCAAGTCTTTGGCCCTCTCTGAATTTTAATGCAATGAGCCTGGATTATCTCTTAGGTCGGTGTCACGTCCTGCGTGGCAAGGGCAAACGGGTTTCTCTTGAGGGGTGACATAGATTGAATAAAGAGACAGAGACAAAAGTAGGATTAAGAGCGAGACCAAGGGACTCAGTCAGAGAATCTGAGCGAGCCCCGAATCGGGTCAG